GGGCTAAGTTAGAGCCGTTAGATCCTGTAACATTGTCTTTGTTAACACCTGTAGAACCCGAGTTAGGAAGTGCACCTTTAGAATCGAGTTAGTAAGTGCTTAGTGAGTTCTTCAAAAACCCTAGTTAGGGCTTCTAAAGCCCAGCCTCAGGCACGAAATCCTCGAGCTCCTTTTTCAGAACCTTTTGGCCCTAAGCCCTAAGCCCTAAACCCTCAACCCTAAACCCTAAACCCTAAACCCTAAACCCGAATTCTCGAAGTATGGCCAAGAGCTGAGGAGCTGCAAGCTATTGAGATGTTTGCCTGGGCCCTGCTCCGCCTCTCGGCTCAGGAAGCGCGGCGGACTTGCCTTGGGCTGTTGGGGCCTAGGAGTCTGCAGGTTTCAGGGTAGTTTAGGGTTTAGGGTTTAGGGTTTAGGGTTTAGGCTTAGAAATTTTGGGGTTTTAGGTACACACGCGGAGTTTGCTATGTTGGGGCACCGTTCTGGGGGTCCTCTGGAATCCTTTGTCAGACTTCTTTCATGTTCTGTGCGGTCAAGCTTTTTTGCCGGGTTACATATTCTTATATGATCGCCATCCCTCCTACTCCCTAAGCCCTAAGCCCTAAAGCGTGGCACGACCGCTTTCTCCGAGAAGATGGGCGGCAACAAAGGCAAAGGGCAGCAGAAAGGCTCCTGGGCCACTGCCGTGGACAAATGGGGCAAAGGAGACCGATACTGGGCCCCTCGGTCCCGTTCACCGAAACGTATCATGTGGGTATCCTGAGAGCTTACCCAGGAGAAGTAGGCGAAATGCTGGTGAAGAAACAGGGTGCCAAAAAGGACATGGACCTCCTCGCCTTGGTTTGCATCTCCAGCCGGCTGTCGGCATCCAACTGCGAGGCCTTCAGCCGCCCAGACAAGTGGATGTCCATGCTGGCGGCATCTGTTCGACAGGGCCACAGAGTACTGCCACACGCCGTCGAGGACATCGGCCCGCCCTAAGCCCTAAACCCTAAACCCCAAACCGTAATTAAACCCTAAACCCTAGACATACTCCGTAACGTACTCCGAACCCCGAAGCCCCAAACCCCAGCAGCCGACCGAGGCTTCCCAGAGGCCCCGAGAGGGCTGCAGCGCGGGTTGCTGAAGACCATCCGTGAGGCCGGGGCCAGCCGGTTTAGGGTTTAGGGTTTGGGGTTTAGGGTTTAGGGTTTAGGGTTTAGGGTTGGGGCTGGGGTCGGGTGGGTAGGGGTTGTGGTAAAGGGCTTCAAGTTCAGGGCTTAGGGCGCGGTTTTGGGTTTCGGGGCAGGGATCAGGGGCTGTAGGGGTTTGGGATCCAGGAACTCAGCTGGCTTTCGGGGCTTTCGGGGCTTTAGGGGATCAGGGTTTAGGGCAGTTCAGGGTTGAAGGGGCTCAGGGTGTCTGTCGTCGGTGGCTCAGCTCAGTAGCCTTGGCTTGCTGGTTTCGTTTCTGCATCTTGCCGAGTCATGAGCACCTGCTCTCAAGAAACGACCTCAGATCCGAACCTGTGTCAGGCGCTGAAGCTGAAGCTGTTCCCCTAAACCCCTAAATCCCTGAGCCCCCTCAACTCCTAAGCTCCTGAACCCCACCACCCCTGAAGCCTCAAACCCCGAAACCCCTAAACCCCTAAACCCCTAAACCCCTAAACCCCTAAACCCCTAAACCCCTAAACCCCTAAACCCCTAAACCCCTAAACCCCTAAACCTAAACCCCTAAACCCCTAAACCCCTAAACCCCTAAACCCCTAAACCCCTAAACCCCTAAACCCCTAAACCCCTAAACCCCTAAACCCCTAAACCCCTAAACCCCTAAACCCCTAAACCCCTAAACCCCTAAACCCAAAACCCAAAACCCCAAACCCCAAACCCCAAACCCCAAACCCTAAACCCCTAACCCTAAACCCGAAAACCTAAACCCTAACCCTAAACCCCTAGACCCCTAAACCCCCAAAACCCGAAACCCTAAAAACCCTGCCGCAGGAACAGTCTCACTGCCGCCTGTACCTGGACCGCGTTGCCACCCTGGCTCCCGAAACTCCACCGATGGGCGCGGCTCCCTTGTCGGGCTGCTTGTCTGGGGTTTAGGGTTTTAAGGTTTGGGGTTCAGGGTTCAGGGTTTAGGGTTTGGGGTTTAGGGTTTAGGGTTTAAGGTTTATGGTTAAGGGTTTAGGGTTTGGGGTTTAGGGTTTGTGGTTTTGGGCGGTTTGGGGTTTGAGGTTTAGGGTTTTAAGTTTGGGGTTTTGGGTTCAGGGCCTCGTGACACCCAGCCCCTCAACCCCACAACCCGAAGCCCCACCAAAGCCCGAATATTCCTGAACTCCCAAACTCCTAAACCTAAAGCTCCCAAATTCTAAACGAAGCCTTAAACCTCATACCCTAAACTCCCGAACTCCGAAACCTGGGCGCTGAGCAGCGCTCCCACTGAGAGTTCAAGCCCCTTGATCCTACAGAGGGCTCACTGCCAGTTCGGGTTTAGGGCTAGAAGATCTCTAAGCCCAAAATCAGCACCCCTGAGCCCTTAAATCCTAGCAATCCTAAACCTTAAGCCCGAAGGACCAAACCCCTCAATTCTGAACCGTTTCACCCTACCCCCAAACCCCCAAACCCCCAAAGCCCCCAAAGCCCCCAAAGCCCCCAAAGCCCCCAAAGCCCCCAAAGCCCCCAAAGCCCCCAAAGCCCCCAAAGCCCCCAAAGCCCCAAGCCCGCGATGTGCCTGAGGCTACCTCTGGCGCAGCCTTGCCGCTGTGGACTCGGCGCCCGAGCCCCTGGAGGCCTTCCTCTGCGGCGTAGGCTGGGCCAGGGTTTCGGGTTTAGAGTTTCGGGTTTAGGGTTTGGGGTTTAGGGTTTAGGGTTTGAGGTTTGGGGTTTAGGGTTTGGGAGTTACGGTTCTGGTTCCGTTTTTGGGGTTGCGGGGTTTAGGGTCTAGGGTTTGGAGTTGAGGGTTTTGGCGATGTGCGGAACTCTTGGCGCCATGAAAACCTGCGTGGAGGCTCATAGCTACTTGTAGGGTTACAATCTCCCAATGTTGAACCCCCCTTACCCGCTAATATGAAGTACCCCCCCAATTATTGTTATATCATAGTATATATGGGAGGTAAAAAATGGGGTAGGGGGAAGGGATTAGGGCGGTTCTAACCCTAAACCCTAAACCCTAACCCCTAAACCCTAAACCCTAAACCCTAAACCCTAAACCCCAAATCCGAAAGCCTTGGCCCTGAACCCTAAGGCCTGTATGCCCTAAACCCTCACCTCTACCCACATCGACTTCGACTCCGAGAGCGGAACGCCCTGAAACCCTACGAGTTTAGGATTTAGGGGTTTAGGTGGGGTTTAGGGTTTAGGGTTTAGGGTTTAGGGTTTAGGGTTTAGGGTTTAGGGTTTAGGGTTTAGGGCTTAGGGTTCAGGGTTCAGGGTTTAGGAAGCCCTGGCGCGAGGCCTGACCTTCGAGGCTGCCAACTTGGACCATTCCCTCCGCTACCGCGACATCTTCCAGCAGGCTGGGGGCCCAATGGCCCCCTGGTTCTCAGTAGGGAATGAGGGAAGTAGGGCCCTGTATACACCCTGTACAGGGATTATGTAGGGTACCTCATTCCCTCATTCCCTACTCCATACTAAGAACCAGCCAGATTGCGGCTCAAGGAGGCTGCACCTCAGCACCCCCAAGCCCTGATCTTTAGGGCTTGCTAGGATTTAGGGTTTAGGGACTAGGGATTTAGGGTTTGGTTTCTACACACTCTTCTAGGGGTTTCAGAAGCCCTCAAGAAATCCGTAAGCAGTGGCCTGCTTTAGTATAGGACTTCACAGGGCGGCTGGTTCGTCTTCCTTATAGGATCAACCCCGAAACCCATACAACCACTGGGTTTGACCCCCTGATTTCAGGGCTGACGGTTTCTGGGGTTTGAGGGTCTCAGGCATGCTAACGTACGATATACATAAGAGACATGTTTATACATGTGTATATATATATATATATACGTACATGCGTATGTTTGTGTGTGCATGAGGGTTCAGAACTCAGAGCATGGCTGTTGTCGGCCCCATGCCGCACGAGGCAGGAGACGACGGAAGCGCCGCGGTGCTGCAGCGCGTGCACGACGAGGTCGGTTTAGGGTTTAGGGTTTAGGGTTTCGGGTTTAGGGTTTAGGGTTTAGGGCTTCAACGATGTGCGTTTGACAGCTTTGTGGGCTGTCGTTTTTGTGGGATGTGTGGGCCTTACGTACATTTGAATTCGGGAGAGAGAAGAAATTTCGGTACAAAAAACACCTAAAAGACACCAATTTCCCTGAATCGCGGTTGCGGGGCTCGCTGGAACTTTACATCCTTGGCTGGACTTCGGACCCGCCCTGAAAGCTCCCGAGGATGTCTACAAGCCCTCTACAAACCGGCAGGGGTTTAAGGTTTAGGGTGTAGGGTTTAGGGTTTAGGCAAGCGCCTCTTCCCTGATCCTTACAACCCCGACTACAATGGCCTCTATGGGGCTGCAACTCCAGCCCGGAAGCGCGACGATGAGCAACAAGAAGTTATCCTCCTTGCCCCAAGAAACATCCCCCCCCCCCCCCCCCCCCCCCCCCCAAAGAATGCAAGGGAACCAAGGGGCGCGAGCCTATGCCCTATGCCCTATGCTCTACACCCCAAAACACCCTGAACCCTAACCTCTAAACCCCAAACTCTAAACACTAAACCCTAAACTCTAAACCCCAAAACCCCAAAACCCCAAACCCCAAACCCTAAACCCGAAACCCCAAACCCCAAACCCTAAACCCTAAACCCTAAACCCTAAACCCTAAACCCTACGAGAAGGAAGTTGAGCACGTGCGCCTGGCCCACGTGTGGCTCCGGCGCCTGGCCGAGGCGCGGGGCTTGGCCGAGGCGGGGTTCAAGTCTGGGGTTTGGGGATGAGGGGCTCGGGTTTAGGGTTTGGGGTTTAGGGTTTAGGGTTTAGGGTTCAGGGTTTAGGGTTTAGGTCCAGGGTTTAGGGTTTAAAAGTTTGAATGAACTGCTGTTCGCCCGGAGCCTGCCCTGACAGTTGGACGACCTGGCGCTGTACGAGCGTGGCGTGGCAGTTTTCATGGTGCTTAACGGGGTTAGGGTTTTAGGGTGTAGGATTTAGGGGTTAGGGTTAGTAGAGGGGTCGGAACAATTACTAATGGTTTTCCCTCATGGCCCCTTTATAATTCTACCATAATAACCTCCAAAAACCCTGTTCTAATACCCTAAACCCTAAACCCTAAACCCTAAACCCTAAACCCTAAACCCTAAACCCTAAACCCTAAACCCTAAACCCTAAACCCTATATTAGTTCTTTGGAGTGCTCCACGGGTTCAGGGTTTTGGGGTGCTTACTGGGTTTAGGGTTTAGGGTTTGGGGCGCTTCGTGGGTTAAACCCTTAGGAAAATTGGGGGCAGATACCCCTATAATACTACTAAAATTCCTGTTAGTAAGGGTATATGAACCTTAAACCCTTTTGTGGTTCATTTTGCCCCCAAGAAAGTCAGCACTTTGAGCACCACGCCTCCACGTAAATGATTCTTTCTTGCAGGCTGTTTTTTTGGATCAACCACTTCATTCTTGATCCAGATCGCCGAAACCTTAAACCCGAAACCCTGAGCCCCAAACCTTAAACCCTAAACCACCGAAGCCCTATCATTGAACGGCCGGCGGTTGAAGCTCAGGTTTTGCTGCCAAGCCCGTCTTCGCCTTGTGCAAGGCACCGGCTGGGCTGGGCTGTGAGTGTTTGGGGTTTGGGGTTTCGTGTTTGGGGTTTGGGGATTAGGGTTTGGGGTTTAGGGTTTGGGGTTTAGGGTTTGGGGTTTCCGGTTTGGGGTTCGGGGTTTGGGGTTTGGCGTTTAGGGTTTGGGGTTTGGGGTTTAGGGTTTGGGGTTTAGGGTACGGTTCATGTCAGGGTTCTGGGCTTGGGGTGGTGGCGGCGGGGGGAGGGGGTGGGGGCTGTTGGTTCGCTCGTGGGAAGAGTGGGTGTTTGGGGGTTTGGGGCTGCGACTTGGCAGGAAGATCAGCCCAAACCCTGAAGCCTAAGCTTTAAACCCCAAGCCTTATCGCTAAACCGTAAACCCTAAACCCTAACCCCTAAACCCTAACCCCTAACCCCTAAACCCTAAACCCTAAACCCTAAACCCTAAGCCCTAAACCCTAACTCCTAAACCCTAAACCCTAAACCCTAAACCCTAAACCCTAAACCCTAAGCCCTAAACCCTAAACCCTAAACCCTAAACCCTAAACCCTAAGCCCTAAACTCTAAACCTTAAACCCTAAACCCTAAACCCTAAACCCTCAACCCTAAACCCTAGACCCTAAGCTCTAAACCCTAGACCCTAAACCCTAAACCCGGGTTGTTGAAGCCCAGCATGTGGGGCTGGGACTTCAGGGTCGAAATGGTTCTCGCAAAGTTGCGAAGGCTCCCCACAAGACTAGCATCTGAAGCCTTCCTCAACCCGAAACCCCAGATGCCCTGACCCTAAACGGCCCTATAAACCCTAGACCTTACTTAAACCCTAAACCCTAAGCCCTACCCTCGACCCGAACCCCTAAACCCGCAACCCTAAACCCTAAACCCCTATAAGGCCCCTAAAGCCATCCGAGACGAAGGCCCGCGGACGTGGCTTTCCTGCCATCGCCGCCCGAAGGAAGGCTGGTCTGTCGGAGGCTGGGGGCTGCCCTGGGTTTAGGGTTTAAGGTTTGTAGGTTTTAGGGTTTAGGGTTTAGGGTTTAGGGTTTGGGGTTTGGGGTTTAGGGTTTAGGATTTAGGGTTTAGGGCTTAGGTGTTAGGGTTTAGGAGCTCGTAATTCGGGCTTGTAGGGCCTTTAGGGTTTGTAGGGCTTGTAGGGTTTGTGTTTTTTTTTTTTTTTGGTAGGGTTTTTGCAGGTTTGTGTAGGGTTTGTGTAGGGTTGTTGTGGGGTTTGTAGGGTTTGAGGGTTTCTGTAGGGTCTTTGTGGGGTTCGTAGGGTTTGTTGTAGGGTTTGGAGGTAGGGTTTGTATCATGACTTCTGTGCCAACTGGATCCTGGACAGGCAAGCGTACGGTAAGTGGGCTCGAAAATAGTGAGCCCCACCTCTACAACAAAAAGCTTGCCTTCGCCTACATGTCCCACGAAGAAAGGGAAGACTTGCCGTCCGAACGATTTTGGTGTGCTTCCCAAAACTGGAGGTGAGCAAGCTCAGAAACCTGGTACCAGGTTCAGAAACCTTATTCGCCGCAAGCGCCGTCCTGCGCAGTTTGGTGGAGTCTACCTACATTGCAAGTGAAGGTACTGTTCCCTTGATGTGATCAGAGTCAAGAAAGACTCAATATCTAAAGAGGATAGCGAGCCTGGCCTTGGTACATTAGCGTTTGTAGGCTTCGCAGGGTTTAGGGTGTAGGGTTCGTCGGGATTTGGGAGTTAGAGGCTTTAGGGTTTGGGGTCCAGGGTTGTGAGTTGTAGGGCGTTTCGTGTTTTGTAGGGTTTTTAGGGTTCATGGTTCGGCGTTTTGGTCTTGGAGGGTTTAGAGGGCTCAGAGGGTTTTGAGGGTTTGGAGGGTTGAAAGGTTTTAGGGTTTGGAGGTTGGGGTTTGCTGGGTCTTTAGAAGGTCTTTCAGGGCTTAAAGGGCTTTAGGGGTGCTTAATTTTAAGCTTTGGGCTTTAGGGCTTGTAGGGGTTAGGGGTGGTTTAGATGTCTTTCGGCTTTGCAGGGCTTGGTAGGGCTTCTGCGGCTCTATCTACAACCCAGCAATCACCCCTCCCAAGTCTTCTTTTTGGTATACTTGGGCTCAACTTGGGTTGAAGGAATGTGCCATAAGCCTTAGACCGGAGCCGAATTTGCCTAAGCTTTGGACCCCAAAGCCTAAGCCTTGGTGGTATCAGTACACTTGGGGCCCGAAAAACCCTAAACCCTTTTTGGTTCACACGTGCCCATAGCCTCCCAGCAAGTCCTGAACCCTCGATCCCTAATCCCTAAACCCTAAACCCCAAACCCTAAACCCTAAACCCTAAACCCTAAACCCTACACCCTAAACCCTACACCCTACCCCCTACACCCTAAACCCTAAACCCTAAACCCTGAACCCTGAACCCTGAACCCTAAACCCTAAACCCTAAACCTACCCCCCTCCCCCTTCCGAGTTCGGCGCAGGCCATGATCGCAGCCGTGAGACATGCCAAGCAACGCGGCTGGTAGTCTGGAGGGGGTGTCGGAGCTTTCCCCTCTCTATTTTTCGGTGTCGCAATTTTGGGCGTTTGGGGTCCGGGTTTGGGGGCTTGTGGGCTTCAGGGGCTTCGGGGATGTAGGGCAGCTTTGGTACCCCAATTGTCTGGCTCCGTCTAATCGGAACCGCTAAATGAGACAATTATCAGAAAGCTGCTCATATGAGGTTCTTGATAACAATGGCCACATTCTAATGTAGCTCTTTGAGGAACTCCAGTTGCACATCGACACCTCAAAAAGTGTTGGGTACTCTACACCCTAATATCGTAAACCCTTAAACTCCAAACTCCTAAATTTCCTTAAGGCCAGTGGACAAGAATGCGTGTTTCTCTGGCCAATTAAGCCCTGCAAACCCGTGTAAAGTCCTCTCGGTTTCGGGTTTAGGGCTTGCATCCCCATAAGCCCTATAAGCCCTAGAAGCTCTGAGTCACTATGGACCCAATGGCTCCAAGAAGCCTCAACCCTCTGCGAAGGTATTCCCCAAGACCCAAACTTATAGGGTTCTGGTTCATGGCATAGGGAACCTAGGGGAAGCATTAGGGAACCTTGGGTTACCTCAACCCTCAACCCTCAACCCTCAACCCTCAACCCTCAACCCTCAACCCTCAACCCTCAACCCTCAACCCTCAACCCTCAACCCTCAACCCTCAAACCTCAACCCTCAACCCTCAACCCTCAACCCTCAACCCTCAACCCTCAACCCTCAACCCTCAACCCTCAACCCTCAACCCTCAACCCTCAACCCTCAACCGGCCTCAACCCTCAACCCTCAACCCTAAACCCTAAACTTTGAAGGGCCTGTCTTGCACCCGCTTTTTTATCACGCAAGGAGAAGACCCAGACATCTCCTTACTGACCCCCCGCCCCCCCAACTCTCTTTTTTTACCCCCCCGCCTGAAATCCAGAAGCACAAAACGGACCACAAACTGGGAAACTCCCACCACAAACCGGACCACAAACTAGAAATCGGTCTCGGGCGCGGCTTTGTTATAATGGTTTGTTATATGAAAAAAAGCACAAACCAGACCACAAAACAACACAACTGATTTGAAAACCAGCAGCGCAATACGGACCACAAACTGCGAAAGTCCCACCACAAACCAGACCACAAAAAAAAACAACTGGTTTGAAAACCAGAAGCACAAATCGGACCACAAACTGCGAAACCCCACCACAAAAAAAGCACAACTGGAACCTGAAAAAAGCAGGCCGGGGGCCCCAAGGGCCAGGCTCCAGGCCCAGCAACTCAGCCCAGAGCTGAGAGGCCTTTTAAGCTTTGGGTTACTAGTTCTGAAAAGGGAAACAGAGAATCAAGTCATTGAGATCTCCATTTACCTTGAAAAAGGCACTTTCGTGTTGTGGTTTTTTTGTGGTCTGATTTGTGGTATCTGTTCGTGGGCTGGGGCAGTACCAAACTCATAGGGTTTTTCATTGGATTTATTGGGGTTTAGAGGGTTCATAAGGCAAGGGCCTTCTAGTCCAAACACGTGCTCCTGCCCTACTCACATAAGTGGCGGTGCAGAAGGAGCTACAAAACAAAGCAAAAACGAAGCAAACCGACTGGCTGGTTCTTTGTAGGGAATGAGGGACTGAGGTACCCTATTTCATCCCAAGAGTGGGGGCCGGGGCCAGAAGGAAGATCGGCAGGTTAAGAAAGTGGGGGGGGGGGGGGGGGGCAAAGAAAGCTAGGGGTGGTCTAAATCAGATCAGATTCCCCCAACCCTAAAAGCTCCTAAACCGAGCGAGGTCTCAACGCAGACCGATCGCAGTGGGCCCAGCAGTCTGCTCGTCTGCTGACGGCCGGTAACTTCAAGCTCCAGACTTGAGATTTGTGGGTTTTTCCTCAGCCCTTTAAACCCTAAACCTTACACCCTAAACCTTAAACCCTAAACCTTAAACCCTTAACTCTTAAACTTTATTAACCTTTAGGGTTTAGGGTTTTGGTGTGATGTTGGGAGATAGCTTTAGCGCTTGGGGTGGAGGGCTTGTGGACATCAGATGTGATGCTCATGTTTTCGCATCTTCAATATGTGATCCGTTTATGGGATGTCAAGAATTTCACCCCTGGATGGGCAGTGCTCTAAATCATGGTCTCTTATTTGGGTGCCCTGAAAACAGAGATGCGCATTTTAGGGGGTACCGCAACATGCACCACTAGTTTGGGAGCCTCAACCGGAAACCCTACACCTTAAACCCTAAACCCGAAACCCTAAACCCTAAACCCTAAATCGCAGCCCCCCAATGGCTTTCGATGCGCGGAGACGGCTCGCCTGTGGAAAAGCCTCGCAGCACCAGCTCGGTTGGAGGTGACTTTAGGGTTCGCGGCATAGCGGTTAGGGCTCTAAAGCCTAAACCCTAAACCCTAAACCCCAAACCCTAAGCCCTAAACCCTAGACCCTAAACCCTAAACCCTAAACCCTAGACCCTAGACCCTAGACCCTAAACCCTAAACCCTAAACCCCAAACCCTAAACCCCAAACCCTCAGGGCTGTCAAGGTTCAGGGTTTCAGAGCGCTTTTGTGTAGTTGAGCCCTGGGGTCCTAACATGTCCCTATGCTTCCGGAGCCTGGAAGCCAGGAGATGCATCAAAGCCCCAAACTGCGCGAGCCTAGCTTTGTGGATTTAGGGTTTGGGGTTTTGGGTTTAGGGTTTAGGGTTTTGGGTTAAGGGTTTGGGGTTTGGGGTTTAGGGTTTAGGGCTTATTGGGGGTTGACAGGGTATTTAGGGTTCTGGAGCTTGGCTCATTTTAATAAACAAAGTTTCTACGGCAGGGCATGTCAGGGTTTAGGTAGTCTCGGAATTCGGGTTCGTGGTCTTCTGGTTGAGGGCTAGGGTTTTGAGGGCAACCTTCAGCCAGCCGTGAGCCCTACAGATCTGATGCCCTTGCCTTAACGCTATAAATCCTGGACTCAAAGCCCTGAACACGAGGTTGCCCTCTGGCGAGCCATCCCCACCCCAGCCCCCGTCCCCCCATGAAACCCAAGCGCCCCAAAATCTGAGGGTTTAGGGGTTAGAGTTTGGCTCGGGCTGTCACCCCTAAACCCTACACCCTAAACCCTAAACCCTAAACCCTAAACCCTAAACCCTAAACCCTAAACCCGAAACCCGAAACCCGAAACCCGAAACCCGAAACCCTAAACCCTAAACCCCAAATTTAAATGCTAAACGCAAAACGGCGTGCCGCTGGGGCCCAAAAAGAACTTTGACATCGCATCCCTAGTCGTCGCGCCTCGCCGTTGCCGCCGGCGCGAGCCCCGGTGCCATTCAGGTTTAGGGTTTAGGGTTTAGGGTTTAGGGTTTAGGGTTTAGGGTTTAGGGTTTAGGGTTTAGGGTTTAGGGTTTAGGGTTTAGGGTGTGTCAGGGGAGGGCGCGCGCTCGGGTGTGAAACACCCCGGGCCGCGCACTCGCGTTGCCCGTCAACCCACCCCGGCCACCCAAACTATACTCTATTCGGGTTTAGGGTTTATGGAATTTATTTTCATCTTGTGCTCTGATCCTTGCTTTGATGTTTTTAAAGTTGCGCTGCTTGGGTTTAAGCTGGGGTTGGGGGTAGCCTCGGCCCTTTTCGGGCCTTCGGCATGTCAGGGCCCGTAGAGGCCCTTATTTATTTGTGCCCGCTCCTGGATTCCCCTTCTTTAAGGGCCTCAATCAAGCCTTTTGGTGGATCTTGGGGCCTTTTGGGGGGCTTCCTGGGGGCTTTCCTGGCCCTGCCGGGGTAAAATGAAGGAAAAACCATCGATTTCAGTACCAAAAAATCGCATTTTTCATTGCGGGTGCGGGCATCCTGGGGTCCCCTTCTTTTAGGGGGCCTTTTGAAGCCTTTTGGTGGCTCTTGGGGTCTCTCGGGGCCTTGTTCGGACCTTCGGCGTGTCAGGGACCGTAGAGGCTATTCATTTGAAGGTCAGGGAACCTATTAATTTTTTTCGCCAATGAGTATTTCAATCGCTAGTGGGGCTTTTTGGAAATGGACGGGGTGCCCAGGCCCGGGGGCCCTTGGCCCGGGGCCTGTTGGGCCGGGGCCCTTGGCCCGGAAGGGGCCCTTCTTGGTTCGGGGGCCTTGGGGCAGGAAGGCGTTGGCCCGAGGGGCCTTGGCCCCCAAAGCCCTTGAAGCGCCCTTGCCGAAGCGCCTTTCTGGGGTGGGGGGCTCTTGGTTGGGGGGGGCCCTTGGGGGGCCTTGGTCCAGGGAGCCTCGCAGAACCTTGGGGAAAATTGACCCAAAATCACGAAATTGAGCAACCAGCCTGCCTGGATCGCCAGCCTCCTGGTCCAGGAATCCAGCTACCAGGGGCCAGGGGGCCCTGGGGGGGGGGCCCCAGTAAACCCTGAACCCAAAACCCTGGTCTGGGTGCCGGCCATCCCTTAGCCGAGTACTGACGTTGTCGTAAAAAAGGCCGATGTCCGTTGGCCTGTCCAGGACAGACGGTGAGGCTTAACCCTCACCTTTCCGTTTCTCTTTTCGCTTGGGCGCTCGGGCTGTAAGGCCCTCGGCCGAGCGTTCGGGGTCTGTCGCTCGACGGAAGCGACCCCTCACTTAGTTTGGGGTTTAGGGTTTAGGGGGAAGGGTTTAGGGTTTAGGGTTTAGGGTTTAGGGTTTAGGGTTTAGGGTTTAGGGTTTAGGGTTTAGGGTTTAGGGTTTAGGGTTTGGGGTTTAAGGTTTTAGGGTTTTAGGGTTTTAGGGTTTTAGGGTTTTAGGGTTTTAGGGTTTTAGGGTTTTAGGGTTTTAGGGTTTTAGGGTTTTAGGGTTTTAGGGTTTTGGGTTTGGGCCCTGATTCCCTTGTCTTATGGTTTAGGTTCCCTTATAAGCCCCTTTAAAGCAAAAAGGGCACCCTTTTTATTTCTAGGTTACTCTCGGGTCTTTGAGGGCTTGGGGTTTGCGGGCTCAGGGTTCTATAGGGCTTTAAGGTTAAGGGTTAGGGTTATAGGGCTTAGGGTTATAGGGTTTTGGGTTCAAGGTTTGGGGGGTGGTTTGGGGTTTAGGGTCTCAGGGCTGAGAGTTTTATAAGACATACTATACAGACTCCAAGCTTTCGCCGTCTAGGGCGGGGTGTCGGCTCACGCTGAACCCTAAAACGCCCCTCAAACACCTTGGTTGAAACCCTTCGCTCTCAAGTCCCAGGGCTTAGGGTTTAGAAGTATAGGGTCAGCTCCTCTGGCAAGTGTGAAGCTCAGGCGCACGTGCACGCAGGGCTCATGGGCTGCGGTGCAAGCACAGAGGCAGCCGCCGGGCTGGGTTTCAAGGGTTTAGGGTTTAGGGGTTCATTTAGGGGTTCATTTAGGGGTTCAGGGCAAAAGGCTTAGGACAGGCCCCCGTCTGATGGACCTCTGCCCCTGTTTCCCACGAGGTAGGGAAGGGGGCAGCGGCGAGGGGGAGGTGCTTAGTGGTAGTGGCGGCGGTAGTGGTAGCAAGAGTAAGTTTCATTGTAACAAGAATTGGAATAGCAAGGAGTCTACAGCCCAAAACTCTGAAGGAACCCAACGTCCAACAAGCCAGATTGAACATGCCGTGTGCCCAGATACCCACAAGGGCCCGCAGTGTGGAAACCCTAAGCCCTAACCCCCGAAGCCCTATCCTTTTCCCTAAGCCCTAAGCCCTAAGCCCTAAGCCCTAAACCCTAAACCCTAAATCCTAAACCCTATATAAACCCTGAACCCTAAATCCTAAACCCTAAAACCTAAACCCGAAACCCTAAACCCCCAATGCCCCAAGCCCCCAACCCCTGCCACGCGCAGACCAAAAACGGGTCCGGCAAGAAGCAGCCGTCTGCCCGGGCAAGATTGGACCGACTTCACGATAAGGTTTAGGGTTCAGGGTTTGGGTTTAGGGTTTAGGGTTTAGGGTTTAGGGTTTAGGGTTTAGGGTTTAGGGTTTAGGGTTTAGGGTTTAGGGTCTAGGGTTTAGGGTTTAGGGTTTAGGGTTTAGGGTTTAGGGTTTCGGGTTTCGGGTTTCGGGTTTCGGGTTTCTCTCACAGGGGGTTACAAGGTACTTAGTTCCCTATTCAGAGCCAGCAGGCTTTGCGGCGGGAGTCTGCTTTTCTTTTGTTTCTGGGCTTAGGCGGGAGCTTAAGGTGTTTTGGGGTTGTAGGGCTGATAAGGGCTTAGGTGTCTGGTTTTTGGGCTTTACCCGAAACCCCAAACCGGGATGTTCCACCTTATACTAACAGTCCTTAATAGGGATCATAGTACCCCCCTATTAAGGACTGTTAGGATACGGGGAACCTCCCAACCCAAAACCCCTGGAGTGTTTACAAGCGCAAAAGATAGGCTTCGGTGTGTAGGGTCTTGGTTGTGACCCCTCAAATCTTGACACTTGAAGCAAAGCCCCCCAAGTAAGCCCTAAACCCTAAGCCCGAAGCCCTAAACCTTAAACCCTGAACCCAAACCCCAAACCCCAAGCCCCAAACCCCAAACCCCAAACCCCAAACCCCAAACCCCAAGCCCCAAGCCCCAAGCCCCAAGCCCCAAGCCCCAAGCCCCAAGCCCCAAGCCCCAAGCCCCAAGCCCCAAGCCCCAAGCCCCAAACCCTAAACCCTAAACCCTTTAGAAATGGTCGGTTCTCCAAGTAATGGTCCTTTTGGGGTTACTCTTATAAGGCGGCCTCTAATAATAAATCCCCGGAGAAGGGTGCGTTCGGTTCCATCTACATCCCAACCACGCTAGGGTTTAGGGTGCAGCCCTCCTCACGCAACGAAGCCAGGCTCTCCCCTGAGGAGCGTGTCAAGGACAAGAAGGCTGCCAAGGACAGAGGGGCGGGTTGAACCCACGGCCTAAAGCCTGAACCCTAAACCCTAAACCCTAAACCCTAAACCC